GAATATTTCGTTAACGCTCAGCTGCTAAAAAAATCTTACATAGCATGTCAGTAACACTATGTGAAATAACTGTTTTGCTGAAGGATTGCACATATTGAAGACTCTGTACGGTTCAATGACTAATGATCTATCCTCAGTCACCCACACCTTTGTCAAGCCAAGAGCTTACGAAGAACTGGTAAAGGCCAGTGGCTAATAAATGCTACAGTGCTTTTAGCAATGCTGGCTTACCACAGACATGTAAGAACAGTCTTCAGTTCTTAATTATAGTCCTGTTGAATTTAGGTAAAGGGAGTCAGTGGTCTGAGTCCCAGTCATCTAAAAACTTAACCAAATGTTATGGGAGGTGGAAAGAACCAAGGCTGATCAGCAGTGTCACTTCTCTGGTTTATGGAACAATCTACAATGAGGGTAGGCTCATCAGCAGAGGAACAGTACTCTTGGGAGATGGTCCAAATCCAGAAGAAGTTGCTGTGATTAAAGAGCATATATCCTTGCCAGTATCTTCCACAGTAGCTTGGCTTTTTTCTTTTTTTTTTTGAAACAAAACCAAATTTCAAGATGTTTGTACAATGTACATTTCAAAACAAGAGGCTACTATAAACTTTCTCTCCTTAGGGAGAGGCTGTGATGACAGATGGATGACAGAAGTTAATCCCATTGCTTATGGCACCGTTGGAAGGCTCGGCTGCAGTGCCCCTTTTACTAGTGAATAAGAAGCTGCACACCATAGTATTTGATACAGGGTATTAATGGAGAAAGAAAGGGTAGTGGAACTTCCTACTCCAGGCTAGGACTTTCTAGTCACGTTGGCCAGAGAACCATGTCCAGATAGTATTATTCCACAGCTACTGTCAGTTCCTTAGGCTGACTGTGACTATTTTTGGGGAGAAAGACTAGTAGATAAAACAAAGGGACTAGAGTGCCCATTCGGTGCAAAGTTCTAGTTGAGTAGTAGAAGTACAGAGAGATCTTTTAAATGGAATACCTTTCTGATACAGCCTTCTTGTTTTTTCTTAAATATTTTACATGTTTGAATTGCTGTGGGGGTATATGTTTAGTTCAACATACGCAGTTTAAAGAACACATTTATAGAAAGAGTAATTTGAGAAAGTTTCATGAAAATAATTTCTGAGTAATCACTTCTGATCTTTCAAGTGTTGTATTTAAATTTTTAGGAAAAGGTGTACTAATGTTGTGGGTAGTTAATAGAGGGCATATGAATATAATATTGCAGTGCTCTGGAAAATTACTATCTGGCTCCATATGAAAACTGTACAATGAACTTATTCTGCAATTTATTAAGATAAGATTGTGTGCACTTACCTGGTGTGATGGTTGAAATTGTTTGTATTCACAACTCTGTGGATGTGAAATTAAACAGCAAGAATCTTAATGTAATGTGACAGTAACATAGAGCTAATCCAGAACCATTTTTTGTTAAATTCTTGCAGTGAAGTATTATAACTTTTCTGAAACCCAGCCCGACAGCTAAATGCTTAGTGCATGGGATGTTTGTTCTAGGGCATCCCTGAAATGCAAGATGAAATTACTTTCTAGAAATTCTTAGTGAATGAATGCTGTTTGTCTTAAATTGTTCTGGAAGAACTCTTGTTTCCAAAACAGCATGTGTATTTCTTAGCAGTTAAAATACAGACTAGGTAAATTCTAAGGTTCTTCCCCCACCCACATATCCATGTATAAATCAGTTGTTCTGAAACATGGGGAAATTGTGCTTGAAAGTATGATAAGAAAGAAACATAAAAGTTGATGCCATCTCTTCTACCCTTGTGACTTAGTGTAAGTAAGTCTTGAGGCTGAAAATGAGAAATAGAGCTAAAATTCTTCAGAATGTTTTATAATTTTTGTCTGTTGGTTTTAGGGGTCATTTTCACAGATGTGTTTCTAGTAGCTATCGCCTTTTTGCATTTAAAGAAAAAAAAGAACAGAAATGTTTCCCAAATTTAACATGACTTTGAGTCTATCATTACACGTTTCTTCAGATGAGAAAATAACTTATTTAGGAAGTAAGGATTCAACTTCTGTCTTTTTTCAGCTGGAAATGAATCCTGCCATTTTTGTCCATCCTTGGATTTATTTAAGTAACCAACTATAGTTGAATATGAGAGATCTGTTTCCAAAGGAAATTTAGATGCCAGAAACATGTCTTTTCCTAGTAACATCGGTGTTTTATGGTTGGTGTGCAGTCTGCCTTACTTTCCATCTATTTCTTTCCCTTATTTTGGCTGCTATATGCTGAGCAATCTTTACATTGAAATGCAGACAGCAGGAGACAGGCTAGCTGAATCGCCATGGTTGGTGGGGTACCACTGTGTGAGCAGTTTTGGAGATGAGAGGTGTAGTGTAGGCAGTAGGGAATTTATTTGAGGTTGAGAGACCCTGATAGCAAGACTGGTATTGATCTGTATTGGTCCTGCTGCTCCTGTCTACTCAAAGGTAGGAACTCAAGCATACATTGGAGTGCAAATACGCTTTACACCTCTATGGCTACCACAGGCCATCTGTACCATTCCCAATCCAGTCTCTTTCCTGTTTTTTCTCCTTCAGTGTACCCAGTTTGGTATTGCTGATTACCAGAAATTCTTCATCTTAACTTCAGTTTTGCTGTCTGGGAGAGCAGCAGGAGGGTGGAGAAAAGCGTACATAATTCTCCATATTATATGGGAAATTACATAAAGTGTAATTAAGAACTCTGTATTGTCAGGACAATGCATGCTTAAGAAGCTTCTCTGCTGTGTCAAGGAGCAAGCTCTTTTTGTGACAAAAATGTATTACATCTGGTTTTGTATGGATATAGAAAAATTAAATCAGAAATCAGTAGAAAGTATTTGATGGTTGAAAGAGTTGAATGCAAGATTCTTCTCGGGTTTAGTTATTTTTTAAATCATAGTCCCTAAAAATAATATTATAACTAAAAATTATGGTTCCCTTTGATAGCAGAAGACTTTGGGCCAAATGATGCTTCATATTACTAAGCACTTTTGATGTGTGAGACCAGCTTCTTGAATATATATGTCTGTATTTTTTGTATATGTGTGCATATATATGTATCTGAATATAAACAGCTGTACACCTTAGATTTTTTCCTTGATTCCTCTTTATTCATCTTCATTGTAGTGATTCATTATTTTCTATTTATGTACTGTACTGAAACTTTCTAATGAAAACACTTGTTAAAATACTTTCTTGTCTTTAATTGTTCCATACAGATGTCATCACTTCTGTGTACCAACTTCAGAGAATCTTTAATCTTTTTCTGTGTTCATCTTTGTTTTACTCTTACCTCCACCTCTGTCCCTGTTTTCTTAGAGTTTGGTCCTTTGTAGAAGAATAGCTGTTATGCTGTGGAGCACTTTGACTTTTATGTGGGGGAAAAAAAAAATTGAAGTTGATACTCCTTTTAATTATTTTAAGGTTCTAATAAGATCTTAAACTGAAACACATTTCCAGTTACTCGCTACATCTTTTTCTTTTTTTTTTTTCCCTTTCTGGGTTTATTGAAGTGAACATAAAGAAAACAAAGTTATCACATGATATTCTGTCAAGGTCAGTTTCCAGTTAGATGTCAGACTCCTTGTTCAGTGCTGTCACAAATCACACTTACTATTTCCAGTATTATTAAATCAAATTACTTACGGGTGAGATACAGTAACATCAGTAGACAAACAAAACCCATCTAATTATACATGGAGCAAAAGGGACTTTTGGTTAGGTTCCAGTTATCGATTTTTTTGATAATACAAGCAAGTACCAATGTTTCTTTTAAATAAAGGAGAATGGTTTTATGGGTGCAAGACTTTCTGCAGGTATTTTTGAAAGTTACACAATTTGTTGCTGTGATATCCCAGCTGTACAATATTTTAGAGCTGTAGAACTGTTTGATGGGAGTGTGTAGTTGGTTGTCCTGAGCTGGGGAAAGTTATCTTCCAATTTATACAGTGTCCCAACTACAAAATTTATTTTTTTTTTTAATGCTGCTCACCAATCTTGAAAGGCTTGCACGGCAGAAAAAAATTGTCGTGAGAAGGCTGCAAGCTTTGAAGTATACTGATACATCTTTAGTATCTCACATGCTTGTAAAATCTAAGGTGAATATCTTGGTTGTAATGTGAGGCCCAAATAATTTTTTTTTTTCCTTTACCAAATACGCAGCCTAATTGCTTTGGTTTATTTAAGTTTATTCTGTTCTGTGCTGTTACTTCAAATGTTTATGTGGATGATACAGTAATGGCAAACTGATTGAATAAATCCATTGTCGTGAGATGATCACTGCATGGGCTTTACATGTGCCTGTGATGATGTTCTGGATGATGAGTCATTTAACCTTAAATATGTACCTTAAATGATAAGAGAAACAACTCTTATTGTTGGAATTTGAAAATCTTGGAATCAGGTATTGGGGCAGCTACCTGAATATTCTTGCTCTGCTATTAGCTATGTTTTTCTGGATGCTTTAAGAAAGCAACTAGGTTAATGACACATTTATTTAATGTGCACTAGGTAGTATAAAATTTTGAAAGCTGAGTAATCTTAAGACATAGAAATACATATTAGTTCATGTGATTTGCTGGGGTGTTGAAATCAAAACCATCTTAGGCTTTGAAGTTTCAAATAAAAATATTTATTTCTTGATAATCTTTTTACTAGACTTGGAGATTCAAAGTTAGAGTAACTCGTGTTAAATGGTCTTTTTATAAGCTGTTGCATAGTGTTAGAACCTTTACAGTAAATTTGTCGTGGTCTTTAGAGGTGTATAATAAATTAGAAGATAATTGATTATGACAGATAAATTAATTTAATTTTTCTGCCTTAAAAGAACTTTTACATGGCAATTGTTTCTCCTCTTCTTTCCTGGTTTTTGCATCTGCCTTTAGATTAAGAGGTTGTTTTGGCCATGACCTCTTTTCTGATTTAGGAAGTCTTTAACATTTTGGAAAATTCTACTTTTATATTTTCTGTTTTTTTCCTATTTCAGATACTCTGGAAAGAGAATGAAATAAATATGGAGTCATCAAAACTGGAATATATTTCATGGGTCACAGTTAAAAGTAAAAAGAAGATGGAACGAAATGAGAGAACAGGAGTATAGCGCCTGTCAAGAACTTTCCATTTTTGTGATATATATATAAACTTGCTATATAGTACAACTAATGATTTATAGCAATGATTTATTGATAGCCCTGGAAGAAGTCAGTTACTGTGCAACTTGCTTCATAAGAACTTTTATTCTAATAACTTTTAATATGTTTTAACCTTAATTGGACACCTTTTTTTTTTTTTTTTCTTAAAGTCTGGGAGTTTAAAACTTTGTATAGCTGTATTTTAACTGAGAAGCTGATCCTGATACATGGCCGAAACCTGCTCATGGAAAACGGACTTAAATCCATGAATGGTTACTATTGCACAGAGTTGAATGGAATACTGTGGCTTTAGAGCAATTTTCTTAGAACCTTCTTCTTTGCCTTGGATCCATCATATCCTTAAATATTTAAGCATAAATATTGCAGTTATAAAGTCTATAAAATAATGGCATGGGTGAAATTCTTAAGAAAACCTGGGGGTAACCTTGGAAAAGTTTATCAGCCTGGAAGTATCCTGTCCCTGGCCCCTACAAAAGGCTTATTAAATGAACCGGGACAAAACAGCTGCTTTCTTAATAGTGCTGTTCAGGTAAGAAAAACTTGATTTATTAAACAGTTCTGGTTTTGTAGTAGCTTAGATGGACATAGTAGGGAAAGTATTCTCTTGGCTGTTTTTACTATTGGTATTGCAGTATGTGTATGCTACAGAAAGATACAGCATGTTTTTCAATGGTGTTAAATCCAGTTCTCAATGAAACTTCTTAATGATTGCAAGTAAGAGAGAATAGCATGTCTTTTTGGAATGTACTTTCCTAAAACCAAAATAAACCACCAAAACCTCATAACTTTAAAACTTGCTGCTTGAATTTTAAAACTAATGTTTCGGTCGAACATAGCAGTTTTGTTACTTGGCAGAATTTCCAGGACATTTTTTAGTTTGGGGCAACCAGTACTACTACTTGTATTGAATAGGACACTTTTTATTAAAATACCATTTTTTCAGAATTAGCACATGAATCTGTGATACTGGGGCATATCAGAAGATACACATATAGTTGAAAGCTTTGATTCTAATCTTAGGAAAGATTTGTGGAATTAGAGTAGGTGAGATACTTGATACCAAAGCAATATGACTTTGATTTCTTTTTACTGTTTATATGCATACATATTACCAACCAACTTCTTGTGTGTGTTTACCTACACACTATTCTGTTTTTACTTGTGCTGTAATTGATAAAATGTTGGCTCTTTAGATGTCTCAAGTATGGTTTAATGGTACAGTGGCATTAGCATGATAAAAACCTGAGCTTTTACAAGCCTACTTATGACAGGGAATATAGGGATCTACTTAATTCTGTGACAGAGCAGCGTTAGCCTTTCACGTTGTCTGCGAGTAACAGTGTAGTTTATACTATAGTATTTTTAAATCTAGAAATTAATAACAACAACAACAAATTTCTAGGTTGTGCAAATAAAGAGCAGAACAATGTATTTTTTTTGTACTGCTTAGATTTTGGACCTGATTGTTTTCAAATTGTACAGGATTATTTGCCAAACTGGCAGAGGGCTTAATAGATGTGTAGACTTCCTCAAAAACTGCAAGGCTTAAAAATTGTATGGATTTAAATATAGGAGATATGAGAGATATATCTACGTGATGTGGATGTGTATGGTATTGAAATATGTTTAAAATAAAAATGTACAATAGATTTAGTAGAATGAGTTTGCTGTTTTACATTCAATGGGGACAGCATGACCTATATTCTCTTGCAGTTTTGCTGTTTTCCCTTAGGGTGCCCTAAAATTAAACCCTAAGTCATTTTTAGTTGTAGTTTCAGACAATCCTACTACTTCACAACCTACTGCTGTTTATCAAATGGTGGCTGATGATTGGTGACTGCCCTTTTACAAGGAGGAATGTGTTCCTTTCTTTTCTTTTAACCTCTGTTTAACCTTCAGAACTGAGGTTCAGACATTCATTTTCAAACACATCCTAATTCATTTTAGCCTTTATAGATAGGATTTTTTTTTTTTCTGGATTTGTAGGTGTTGTCTTACTGTGCCGCTTGTGAACTCATTTTCGGGGTTTTTATGTATTAGTTTTTTTAATGGGCAACTTTCTGAACTACTGCATTGATTGTGTACCTAAGACATTAGATATTGAAAGCAGTGTAGTGTAGCCAAGCTGACATTTCCTTTCTATAGAGTAGTTACACACATAAAAGGTAGAAACATACCTGATTAAGCACCAGGATTATTTTGATCTCTGGAAAAATAAGTGTACTTCATCAATCATTTTAGTAAGAGACGATAAGAATGTAGTATAGACTTAACACAAAATGATGCTTGCATTTTACCTAGCAATTCAGTTTCCAAGTTTCCATCTTTTTTTTTTTCTTCCTTCTTTATTTAAAAGAAAGTACAGAGGGAGGGAGAGGGAAAGGGAAAGAGAAATTAAGTAAACCCCATAGCTGCCTTCCTCTTATGTAAAGCCCTAAGAAGGCTATTACAATCTCTATATACAGTTTAGCTTGCTGCTTGTTTCCTTAAGAGTACTTCAGGTCTGTTTCCACACAAACTACATAGTTTTTTTCAAAAAGTTTAAAAAGGAGATCTAAATTTTATGAATAGTGAATGCAAACCTTCCACTTCCACCTCTACAATTTACCAAACAAATGGAAAAGAACCACAATTCTTGTAGCAGTGTTGGTGTTCAAGTTGTACATGTTATGTGAAATTAAAAAAAAAATCTACTGTATGTTGCTGTGTGAAATGTAGAACCTTCAGAACTCATTACTTATTTTCTGTGAAACTTTATTTTTGTAGGTATTGTGGCAACTTGACATATTTCGACGAAGTTTAAGAGGTTTAACTGGACATGTGTGTCAGGGAGATGCGTGCATATTTTGTGCTTTAAAGGTAAATAATTTTTGGAAGAATCATCTTTCAAAAGGGGGGAGAAATAAGTTAACTAATTTTTACTAATTTATATCCCTATCATACATATGTCTGGGTGACTCTAAAACATTCTTGTGTAAAGAAGCAATTTAAATTTAAGAACAATTGTAACAGAATTTTGTAACAGTTTCTTGTGTTTAAAGAAGAAATTTTACTGTATACAAATTTTACAGCCTGCTTAAGCATAAAACTTTTGTCTATTAAAAGACAGTATAACTTATTTGAAAACTTCTAGCTAGCCTCTTGGAGATCTTTTCCTTTTATTTGCATGTATATGCTTTTGTTTTTCCTATAGTGTTTGAATATGGTTCTTTTACAGTAACTATATTACTGTCTGATAAGGTCTCAAGATTCTTTTTTTACTCGGTAGTTGATGGTAACAGTGCAGAACTTAATTGTTCAGTTTGTAAGTAATGAAAGGCAGGTAGCGGTACAGGAAAACTAATGAAAGCTGGTAACTTCTTAGTGTTTGAAAGTAAAGTCAGATCTGTGTATCTTAGTGCATAAAACTTGTGCTTCAAACAGTTTTGTAACTCATCTGAAGTCTGTAAACAAGTGTTGAATTCTGTTAGGTTCTTACTGCTTTTACTGCACTGGTATTTGGCTGTCTGCAGTTACTAGGGAAGTAGCTGTAAGCACGATATCTGTTTCATTAAGATAAAAATCCCAGTCAAAAATGTATAGGGTTTTGTTTTGGTTTTTTTAGTATGCACTTTCTACTCTTACTGCAACTGGACAATAAAGACACTTGGGGATTCTAATACAGGACTGTGGAATGTATAGTCAAATATGTTAGTAGATGTAGTGACATACAGAACTGGGGAATCAGTCGTGGAGGGAGCTGAAAGGGACAACACTATCTGAAAAGGTAGTTCATGGAGGAAGTGGTTTTTGACGATGCTAAATTGTAGGCAAGGATAAGCCAAGTAATTTATTCTCAGGGATTTTCACAGACCAAACCTTGTTACTGACTAAGCATTTCAGGCAAGAACTGTTTGTAGTGACATTGATCTTTCAGGAGGTTTATAATCTATGTACCGTGTAGGTTTTTTCAGCCATTTTTAGTGTGTATCATGATTGCAGTAAGGTTGGTACAGCTGGTTTTGAATGTCTGTCTCTTTCCAAACATTTTTTTTTCTAAAAAGTACCATTTTATTTCTTTGGTTAAAATGGTTAATTTAAAAAAGGCAACAAGTTGAAATAGGTTGAGACTGCACACATTCAGACTAACTTCATGAGGTTTTTATTTCAACCTATTTACAAGCTCTTGACTCTGCAGAACTTGCTGGGACTTTTTGTTTCACCAGTGCTCTGATGTACATCATGTTCTTCTGTGTGCTGGACACTTGAGTGGACACAAAGTCCAGGCCATAATTCAGGCATACCTATGTTTTCAGATAAAATCTTGTGTCTGTCTTGGGGCAATAGCTTTAGTTTCCTGGAGTTTTGTGTATATAGGGATTCATGTTCATATCTGATGTCATAATGTAGAGTAAACTTCATGGCCTTTTCCTTTTGATTTGATCCATATTACATGTGAAGTTCTGGTCCTATACAGTCTTGTTCAATGCTGCACTGGAACTGCCTTTAAGAAATGAAGAGGGGTTGAAGGGTGACAGTTGCTGGAATGTATGTGTTACACTACATACTCTTCATGACTGATCATATTGCTGAAATCATAATAAAAATTAATGTAGCAGCTTCAGTGTGCTCAGAAACGTGAAGAAGGTAGTGCTCATGGTGTGTTGCAATTGAACCTGTAAGTAATTCATTGTTCCATTCTAATTGTGCACTTGTGAAGACCAGGTGCTTCTTTTTTTCAAGCTAAGTATACCACTTGCTGTACTGTAATACCCTCTCTTCCTGTAGTTTTTGGGGCTCCAGTACAAAGTAAGATAGGTTTTGCATCACTTTACGTAACCTTCCAAAGCAGTACACTACCTTCAGCTGCTTCATAAGGCTGCTGTAATTTAGGATTTGAAATTTTCTTTATTCTTTCACGTATCTGTTCTTGAGGGATTGATTACTCCCATGATGCATCATCTTGTGCATTTTATCTAAATGCCTTATTGTACCTGAATATTTTGCATTGCCTGCACTGTCACATCTTCCTATTTTGATGTGTTCCCAAGAATACTGATAAGAAGTGGTATTGTTGCCTGTTCTGAAACTGGTTAGAATGGAATTAGGTATTGTTCTAACAGTATAGTTGTGATCTTTATAACTCGATGGCCCCTAGCCTAGGTACTGAACTCGAACCACTGTTAACTCATTTGGAAGTATCTGTCCTCAGTCATTATGTATGCTACTGGTTTTACTTTCTTGGTTTTTTAGAGATATTGGTTGAATGATTCTGTTTTTCTGTGTTCAGAACCTGGGGCATTTTGATTTTCATGCAGTATGTACACTGGATGAGGATGTATTTCAGTAACTTGTTTGTGACTTGGGTTATTTTTTGGTTTGGTTTTACTTTTTTTTTGTGGTTTTGGGCTATTTTAACCCTTCTTACTTGTTTACCAACAAAGAAGGATATTTTATCTACATCAGCTTCTCCTATAAACTAAAAGCATAGCTAATAAATCTGGTTTTCTTCAGTCCATTATCTTTTTCTTTTGGTGGTGGTCTGAGAATTAAACGTGCTCTTTTCTTCTCTGCATAACACTGGGGTGGGACTTTGACTATGCAGGCCACTAAAATGTGCATACGTATCAGCATAACTGCTTATCTGTACTTTTTTTTTTAGCTGGATATGTAAGGCTCTGTTGCATACCAAAAATGACCTAGCAGCCAAAATGAGAAGTGATAAATGTTTTCAAAGCAGAGTTAACTTGTATTACCAGATCTGTTCAAAACTTAATTTTGAATGTTTACATTGAGATATTGACTGTAATTTTTATCAGTAATCCATGCTTTTTGTTATGTGAGGGAAGTTTAAATATTTGACAGACATTTACTCTGGAATGCATCATGGTTAAAACGCTATTTTCTGTTAGCACTGAAACTTTGCTTATCTCTTGTATCTTTGCCTTCTGTCCAACAGATTTTTTTTAACTGTAGGAGGCCTATATGGAGAATGCATACCCTTATTTATATTTTGCGTGGCTTCTCCTGATTTTTTTTGTCTTATTCTCTTCATTTTTCTCTGAAGTTTGGCTTAGAATTCTTGACAGTGGAATACACCCTTTAATATCTGCAAATGTTTTCTCATTCATTTAATAGCTTTTAACTTTCAGTTCTTTCAAAATCAACCTCTTACTTGCTAAATGATGAGGTCACTTGCATACATATCTCTGCCAAAAAGAAAAGCAGTAGCCAACTCTCTCCTCTGGGAACTGAAGAAAAAAAAAAAAAGTCCAATTTATTCTCATGTTCTGGGACTGCAGATATTGACCTGTTCTCTTGTATTGTGTGCACTGGATCAGCAGAGAGCTGATTTAATAGCAAAGATTATCAGCATTCTATCTAATTTATGGGAGTTTTTTGCAGTTCTATAATTTTAATAAAGATACACTCCTGCCTGAAGTTGTAATGTAAATGTTACATTATTTAATGAATCATGGGTGTTAAACTGAGTGGTGTTACATTCTGCCTTAAGAAATACACACCATCTGTAAAGACGAGGTACGTATACATGAGCCGCTATTCGGTGGCCAAATCAAAAAAGCTTCAGACCAGGGCTTGTGTTGCTTCTGGGAGCTAGTGTCTTGCATTTTTATATACTTCTATGTTGTTTTTCTACTGGATCAAAGTGCAGTTTGGTAGCATAACTTCTTATAATGGAATGAGTAACAGAACACAAAACCTAAGTAACTTTAAGAGAAAACAGTACTTTCTAAAGTTGCATAGATTTATAAACATTTTATATATTTGCTTTTAGGCATGCTGCATGAGAACTGATGTATTTGTGTAGAACCACAGTGTCTAGTCAAGTGGCTAATGAAGCTAAGTAATTATATTTCTTCCTAGGCAATATTTTCACAATTTCAACACAGCCGAGAAAAAGCACTGCCATCAGATAATATGAGACATGCCCTGGCAGAAAGTTTTAAGGATGAACAGCGTTTCCAGCTTGGATTCATGGATGATGCAGCAGAATGCTTCGTAAGTATTCTTTGTCATAGTTGAGTAGAATGACATTAGTTTTGCGGACGCCAATCTGGCCTGTTGTTTTGGTAGCTCCAGGCTCACAGGTGGGATACAAGTGACAGAATCCTACTAACCACCTTCATGTCAGTTTAGGGGAACAGACACATGGAGTAAGTGTCCGGTAATGTGGGATGGAGTAATCTTGCATTTGCTCTGTACTTTTTTCCCCTAACTCTATAGCTCAGGCAGAGGGGTATGTGAAACGTAGTTACTACAAGAGGTCAGTGAGGATGAACTCTTCATCTCTTCTAAAACTTTTAGGATGGAGAGAAGGTTTGTCTTCCCAGGAGAAGAGGCACTTACGGATTTGAATATGTAGTCTGTTCCTCCAAGTGTTCTCTCTTCAGCTGTTGAAATACGTTCTGTTAAAACTGGCCAGCTCATTACTGAAGTCTTCTGCAGAAGAGATTTCCATTTTCATATCCAAGAGTGAACAAATACTTGAAGATCTTGACTCTTCCTGCAATTACTTTCTGCTTTTATTAAGTGTCTCATGAAAAACATGAGCCATTACTGTGGCCATAAAAGATGACTCAAGATCACATAGAACACTGGTAAAAAAGCCTGTATTAGAGAAAGAAAGTTGTTCACCAAAAAAAAAAAAAAAAAATCAGTATTAACCTTCAGGCACAGATTTGAGGAACAGAAGATATGGTTGCTGCTTTGATTACTTTCAGCTTTGGACTTCCTTTGGAAGTAGATGCATTTTCACTTACATAGGAAAAATCCAGTGGAGAACTCCTGAAAGTGGCTGTTGGAGATCTTGCAGGCAGGTTGATGGACTGCAGTCATGAAAGAGAATGTCTCATTAGTGGTCCATCTAATCAAAATGCATTTGGACCCCTGAAGTAATCAGCTGTCTGAATGATCTACCTGGACAGATTCACTTCTTCCCATTACCTCTTGTATTTTTGGCAAAAGAGGAAAAAATAGCCATGCTAATTCAGGGGCCAAACTGATACCAATCTTAATAGTCTTTATTTTTCTTTTCCTTTCTTTTAAGGTTAAAAAGTGAGACATGGGATGGGATCAGGCATGTGCTATTTATAGGCTTTTTCCATGCTTTTGTCAACGGTACTTGTGTTGGCACATGTGCTAAACGTGATCAGATGATCAGATTGATACACAGAGAAAAACATAAACGAGTGAAGAACTGAGACAGAGGCCTAATCCAAGGAAGTATTTCAGTCATTGCATGCAATGACATTAATATCACGTCTTAATGTAAGACCAGCTTTATAAATTTTTCTTGGAGATTCACTTCCTTCAAAAGAAAATGTGCTCTGGAAGAACAGTTATCAGTTTTGTTAATGTTTGGAAGCCTTGAGATGAGGAGAATTCCCATGTACTGAGTTGTGAATAGGGACAGAATTCAATACATGTTAAAATTGTAGGTGGACTATTTGGAGCCAAGGGGATTAGTTGGAGTATTAAACTGTAATGTTGCTCATATATTCTGACTTCACCAGTTCAATTTATATTTACATTATTATTTCTATTCAGGAAAATATCCTTGAGAGGATTCATTTTCACCTCGTGCCAAATAGTGAAACAGATATGTGCACTTCAAAATCCTGTATTTCTCATCAGAAGTTTGCTATGACACTGTATGAACAGGTCAGACCTTTATTTGCTTGCTTTAACACTAATTTGGTTCCACTGTCTTGAGTAAATAAAAACAAAAGTATTTTTATTTTTGTAGTGTGTGTGTCGCAGTTGTGGAGCATCATCAGACCCATTGCCTTTTACGGAATTTGTGCGTTATATTTCTACCACAGCCCTGTGGTAAGAGCTTTTATTTTTTTATCTTGTATTTCTATATAGACCCTTCCAATAATAAGCAAAGCATGCTGGAGAAATGCTGTAAGTGTTAAAAATGAATGTGTATTCCTTTGCTAAAACGTGTTTTTGAGATGCTGTCCAAAAGTAACATTTGGATTTCAAAAGCAAGATGTAGAGAGCACTTGACAAAAAGTATGTATTGCTACTGGTTTACCTCTATTTTTTCTTTTTAGTCAGAAGATATTGTTAATTGAAAGTTGACTGAAATCTGTTAACTCTTAAGAGAGATCCACAGGTATATCCATTTATTTTTTACAGTAATGAAGTAGAAAGAATGATGGAGAGGCATGAACGTATCAAGCCAGAAATGTTTGCAGAATTGCTGCAGGCAGCAAACACTACTGATGACTACAGAAAGTGTCCTGTAAGTAAATAAAGATGTTGCATTACTTAAGATACAAGGGAGAATTTTTAGGACATTAAATCAGGCTAATGTATTCCCCTAAAAGCAGGATTACCTGTGGCCAGTTGAGCGCAGGCCAGTTTAGGGTAAAAAAGCCCTTACATTTGTATTTCACTGCTCCAGTTATAGGTAAACGCAGTATTGTAGGTGTAAGTGGCCTGTTTAGAAAGTTGTGTTACTACGTCCATGTTTTATTCTTTACTTCATGTTCAGTGTAGAGGTGGTTTTGATTAGTTGGAACATTTCTGAGTGAAGCTGCTTTAGTTTTTATACACTGACAGCTTGACAGCATTGTCTTCTGTTGGAATAATTTTGTGATTCTATTGGCAATAATAGTCTCTTTTAGCTTGTTCTATTTAATTCTTCACTTCCTTAAATTGTTCTGTGTAAATACTGCTAATTTAGGAACCATAGAAAAGTACACAAGAACATACAGACCTAAGCTTAAGTGATGAAATGGAGGGGGAACAAAAGAGAAGTTGTGATGGTGACTTGGAAGTTTTCAGAGATTTCTGTTTTAAGGTGGTGGTTGAATGTAGAAGTTTAGCTGTAGTCTTCATCAGAATGCTTTTATGATGAAGAATTTTATCCTTAATTTGTTAGAAACAAACACCACAGTTAAATTTGAGAAGTAAAAGTTGCAGAGTTGTTTTGTTGCATTATTTCTTGTCTAGTAACTCAACTTTGGACTTCCATTTTTTTAAACATCTTTGTTTTCCCTCCTATCACATTTTTTTTCCTTTTTCTAGAGTAACTGTGGTCAAAAAATAAAAATTCGTCGTGTCCTTATGAATTGTCCAGAGATCGTCACAATCGGTTTAGTCTGGGATTCAGAACACTCTGACCTGACAGAAGAGGTTATGCGGAATCTGGCAACACAACTTTATCTTCCTGGGGTATATGACCTAAAACTTACTATTTGCTTATTCTAGAATTTCATTGTACATTTATTTTATGTATATGTAAATATATACAAATATAAATGTACATACACACATGTATTTTTTAAAAAGCACTATTTGACTTCGAAGTTTATGTCTACTTTTACCATTCTTTACAATGTGCTGCTTGTTGTAGTTTCTGAGAGGAGAAAGTCCTGTCAGAAGTGTTAGTCTTGTGCCTAAGTACAAAGATGAATGTAGGTGAATTCCTAGCTGAAAAAATCTATGAATAACATGTTCAGTTTGAAATTTGTGGAATTATTCCAGAGCATTATTGTTTTACCCTTTCAACTATGCAAAAATAAATACTAAAATAGATGTAGTAAGTGCAAAAATCATTATTTATATTAATAAAAAATTGTATAATGCAACAGGGTATTTAATACCAATCACCTTGGTGAAATGGCGGTAGGAGGTCTGGAAATTGAAAGTAAATGTTTTACACATGTTTTAAAATATATAACAATTTTTACAGCTGTTTTATAGGGTTACAGATGAAAATGCCAAAAATAGTGAACTCTTCCTTGTGGGTATGATTTGCTACACAAGCCGACATTACTGTGCCTTTGCCTTTCACACCAAGAGTTGCAAATGGGTGCTGTTTGATGATGCTAATGTAAAGGAGGTAAATATTGTTTTTACTGCCACCAAATGTAGTGGTATTTACTTTTCTAGAGTGCATTGTTCTGACACCTAACTTAAAACAAGTCAAACAATTGTCTATTTTAATAAACCTTCAGTTTTGTAAATAAGTTTTCACAAATGATTTTTAAATTGACTTCACTACAGTTCTGCCTTCCAAATGCCTATTGTTTCAGAATTTTGATGCACTTGTCTGCTGTTGAATTTGTACTTCTTTTAATGAAAAAGAAGACCTAATTACTGGCAACTGTATTCATAGTGTTGATGTTCTGGTTGTTAGCCCATGTAATACTGGTTCTAGCTTTTTGCCACAGTTTATATAAACTCACATTCCAAATGTTGAGTCTTAATGTACCTTTGGAATTAGACATTTGGTACCTATTGTTTAATAAATTATTCTTTCCATTATTGGGTTTAACACTATTGATAAAGTTTTAGGGTTTTGTTTTGGTTTTTTGTTTTTTCTTAGATCGGAACAAAATGGAAAGATGTGGTCTCCAGGTGCATTCGGTGTCACTTTCAGCCGTTGTTGCTATTTTATGCTAACCCAGATGGCACACCTGTATCTCCAGAAGATGCTCCAAAGCAGATTATTCACTGGTCTCAATGCAAAGCAGCAGGAGGAAATGGGGAAGATTTGGGTAATTAAGATATATTTTATTTTTTTTACTGACAGTATCAACTAAATTTCTGAAATGGGGATAATAGAGGAGAAGGTAATAGATAGCTACTTTGTTCTTAAATACTTTTAGCAGTAATTATCTAAAGGGTCTCAAAAGAAAAGAGGTTAGTGTATATATTCAATATTGGAACCATTTGTGCCTGATACGGGAATACAAATTGAGACTCATGCTTAATGGGGAAAAAATATTTTCTACTATAGGTTGTTCATAACTACTTTACACATAACTGGTAATTTCAGAAGAAAATAGTATATTACTATATGCAGATGTTCTTACATGTGTATCGATACATTAAAATACCTTTAAAAATGCTATAAAAAGATATTTTAAGTAAAGCTTCATACAAATAGGGAGATATATTTGGAGTGTGTGTGTTTGTATAAGTGTGTATATATACACACAGACAGCAAGCACAATGTGCTTTGGGAAAGATCAGAAGGAGCTGCAGGAAAACTTCTTATCTCTGAGATTCGTACAGCATAGTCGTCAGTATGTAAGAATCCAGTCTTTTGGTTCTGTAGTTTGTACTGCTGTCTTGTTTGGTTTGGGTTGTTTTTGGTTTTTTTTTTTAGTGTTAAACATAACATACAAGTAAATTAAATAAAAGGCCAGTTGAATTTGACATGTTCCTCTTCACATAATGAGTAGCAATACAACATAGACTGCTTCAGGGAAGAAAGAATTGAGGACCCTATTCCACTACAGTCTACCACTATAAATCTGGCAGTATAGCAAATATTACAGAATCTTATTGCCTTGCATATTGAAATGTGGTGTGGGGTTTTTGTGAGGTTTCTTTTGTGTTTTTTTTATTGGAAACTTTAAATTAGGAAGCCTTTCATTTCTAAAGATAGATATGTTATTTGATAGGATTTGAAAAGCATTCTGCTCCTAAATCAGACCTCATGAAAGAGAATGGAATTGGAGACCCGACTAATCAAAGGAGTAATAAAAAACTTCAGCCAGATAATTCAGCATTCAGTAGAAGCCATATTCAAGCTAGTGGTGGTAGAGGTCCAGGTACGTATTCCCCACCCCACAGTACCACCCCCAAAAAAACCCCAAGCGTGTCTTATTACGAAATATTTCAGTTGATAGCATTTCAGGTATGTATTTAACCTCTGGACTAGTCTAAAAGAAGAATTCCTTCATTGACTTGAATGCATCTTTGAATAATAACTGATGTTTAAGTTACATCTGCCATGGAATGTTAACTTTGCCAGAGAACTGTAAATGCAAAATTTTTTTTATAACCTCTCATTATTCCTGCATTAAAGTGGCTCTTGAGGCCTTGATCCATTTCTCAAACATCATCATGCCTTCCAGTCATATTGTTGGTTAAAAGGCACATTAGAAACTCGAAGCTGATTTCCAGAGCACAGGGTGTAACTCTGTGTATCGTTGGCTATTTGAGGAACACTGTTCCCAACAGTATTTGATATGCAAAATTATTTGCAGTCCTGTATATTAATGGACTTTATCTTACGTTTGGAAAGAATAGTAAAAAAGTTGTCTTCTCTGTTTAAAAATCCATTCTGTCAGTACACTAGGCTTCCAAGCAAATCATATTATAAGAAGTCACATGAGGCAGTGACTTCTGCATTACTTGTCAGTGCCTTTGCTCTGAACTCCCACCCTTCTCAGGCAGAGAGATGCTCCCTTCTCTTGCGATGTGTTTCTCCTCTGTATTTATTATTGAATTCCTAGACTTTTTAACTGAGAATGCTCAGCTTGGTGACTCTCTTTTTGGTGGAGTGATGACTCAAAAATTGTCAGTATTTACCTTTTGAGAAACAGAAGGGTTTGTTTTCATAAACAGTGACTCCACTGTTTTATTAAAAGGAAACCTTCACATTTAGACAAGATTAAACTTAGATTCATTTTTCCAGTATAATTCATAAAATTTGATATAAATAGTATATGCTTTGAAAATGTCTTGAGCATTCAATTTTAGTAAGTAAGAGGTGTTTGTAAGACATGCTTGACATAATGCTGCTTGGTGGACTCCTTGGACATACCTATACATTTATATCTATAGTATACAACTCATTTTCTTAATCTGTGTTATGTCATTCGTTAGTCTTTTTAAGTAGTACTAATATTAAAAACTCAATGTTATGGTACATAAATGTATTTGTGTGTTTTGATGATGAATGACTTTTTAGTAATGATCTCTGACAAAAAGTATTTTTTGCAGCTAAGTTATGTTACAGTGATCAAAAGGACAGGCTAAAGGACATATCCAGAGAGTGTGCTCAGAAAGCTGCTGATATGAAAAACTTCTCATCTTTACGAAAAGATGCAGACAGAGGACCAAGAAAGGAGCCTGGGAGACAAAGAGGTACATTTTAAAAATATGACCAGAGAATCAATGGGTTAGGCAGCTTTTGGCATCAGTACTAGCCGTGTAGGGTTTTTTTCTCCTTTTATCAGAACACACTGCAAGATTAGAGTTTCCCAGTTTTCAGTATTCTGAAATACGTGCTGAATTTGTTGAGGTAGTGTAAGAAATGTAAGTACTGTAATAATACTAGCTAAATGAGAACTTTAAGGGAGCTTTTTTCTTTCTCTTACAAGATTTGATTGGGGAAGATCGTTCCAATGTTAAGCTGGGTTCTCCTCCAGTTGGAAATGGACTTAGACACTGTGCCGATCAGCGCATATACAGCAGCCAGGGAAGAGGCTCCTATAAGCATGACAATGCACCTCACCAAGCAAAGCTTTCTGTACAGGTGCTTGGATCAAATAAACCAGAAGCTTTTCCTGCTGGGGAGAAACCAACGATCAGGACCCGAACTGATGGTGTCACGGGCTATGAGACAGACACCAGTCAAGACTCTAGGGACAAAGGAAGTATCATCAGCAGCAGAAGCAGAAGTAAAGGTTGGAAACCTATGCGGGAGACACTAAATGTAGACAGCATTTTCAGTGAGACCGAGAAAAAACAGCATAGCCCAAAGCACAAGGCAAATCCGAACAGTAAATCTAAGCATGAAAAAGAGCGAAGCTTTAACCATTGGCCAAAAGAGAACCAAATCCAGAAAGGTTTAATGACTATATATGAAGATGAAACAAAACAGGATACAGGAAGTCGAAGTTCACTGGACTCAGAGGGAAAGGGGAATGCTGAAAAAAGCAAAGGGTTTACAGAGAGAAAAATCCATGGTGATAACTGGCAAATTCAGAGGACAGAATCTGGATATGAAAGCAGTGATCATATCAGCAATGGATCTGCAAATCCGGACTCGCCTGTTATTGAAGGAATCAATCCAGCAGATGTGAAGAATGTTAGAGAAAATGCTTCCTGCAGGTAATGCTAATGCTTTTAGAACTTGCATAAATTGCATTTATAGAAAAATAAGTTGTTCTAATGCTCATGTGTTGTTTATAAAAAAAAAAAAATCAAGAAAACGTGCTTTGGAACTTTATATGCTTGAGGTCAGGTATGTAGCAACATATCTAGAAATAAGGGTGTGGAGACTTAAGTTTATCTTCACTCTGAGGCTGCAACACTAGTTCTGTTTGGAAGGCACTGAGCCACATTATTATGGCACTGAGCCAGAACTGCTAAGCCCTGCTGAGGGGCAGGGTGTGTTAATTTGAAATAATTGCTACACTTCTTTAGTTACAAGTTTTTTAGACTGTGGGTAACCTGCCATCTGTAATGGAATACAAGCATCTATATAAATCATATCTGTAACAGTTGTATAGACAGGGCCCTGACAAGGGAAGGGCGGTAGGTGAATCTTATATACTGTTACTAGTAATTGTTCTGAAATTCTGTTTTCTAGGATACCTCATATATATATATGTGTGTTGATCATTTGATAATTGATTGACCTGTTTGAAAGAAATCTTTGCTGAAAAGCATAAAATTACTAAAACTGGCCAAAACTTACACGTAATTAAGATATTGATACTGATGAGATTTTTGAATTTTTAGAAAACTTAAGCTTGTCATAGTCAAATGCTGCTGTATGTTTAACTTCAAAATATTCAGGGTGTAAACTATAAACACTGAAAAATGTATTTGTTTCAGACATGGGCGATACTGATGATAAATTAGAAACCATATAGTACCACATGGGTAGTATTCTTTTGCTGCACTGAAGTGGCAATTTTAGGTGAAACCTACAAATAAATTGCATTAGGTGACCAGTGATATCAGTTCCATTTGAAAATCACTACAGCAAACAAGTATTCAAAACTGTCATGCTTTCTTGGTGATCTGTTAATAAGCACTTTTAAAAATTTTTATTAAATTCTTTAGTTTACAACAAGAAAGGTGACATAATTTTTCTGTTGTTGATAACTTTGGGAACCAGCTGCCTTTATTAAGCAGACTGAAGTGATACTAAGATCAAGAAAATTTGCTTTTTCTGTGCTGCATATTAGGCATCCTGCTGTTGCACTCCAGAGTAAGGCTGGGATGAGTGGGCATCCAGTCTCCAGAACAAACTGGGAACACCAGCCTCACTGTCTCTCTGTATTAAAGGATTCAGGTCATCCTAAATTTCTCTGCATCAGCACAGCCTGTCATATGTGGGAGCAGTGTTAAAAGTATTAAAGGGCTACCCCTACTGTCTTATGTATCTTCTGTAAATGTGCATGTTAGTAAAAAATGTGACAGTGATGGTAACAAGAATCAGTTTTACACAGGCAAAGCTTTTACACTTGTATGGACTCAAGGCAATAAAGTTTGTGATCATACATCAGTAGTTTAAGCCTTCAAATTATATGTATGCTTCTCTTACAGTGAACAAAACTTGTCTACCAAAAAAGCTGACAACGTGTTACGTTCAGTATCCCAGCAGAACAGAAACTTTTATGGTAAGAACTTTAAATTGCATAAAGAATAAGAAGTTTTCTAAAAATAATTTAGATGTACCAAAATTTTAATACGAACTTACTAATATCACACAGAGATGGACAGATTTCTGATCAGCCTTTTGTATTTTGTAATGTTGCTGCAAAAGTTAATATGATATTTCATAAAACTGAAAAATGTATATACAATTTATCATTGCTTTTTTTTTTTTTTTTTTAAAAAAGCCATAACCAAATATGTCAAAGTTAGACAATTTCTGTATCAGGTTGGCTGTATTTAGGTGGATTGGAAGAAAATTGACATTGAATTTGTGGCTGTTTTGGCCATGATGTTAGGTTATTTTGATTTACTTTTTTTTTTTGGTAGAGAGCTCTCTTGCTAACTGATCATAGCCTGTGTACTCTCTCTTTTTAAAATGACAAAAGAAATCTGTTTTGTGGGTTTGTTTTTTTTCTCCACAGTGAATTCCAAATTTTGTTCTTGTTCATGAGTTTAACCTTTTCAGTGTTTTAGACTGATGGATGAAGATAGAAAGTGTGTTCATATCCCTTCTCAGTACATTTTGATGGAAATGTGATGGAGCAGCAGTTCAATAACAGTATTGATTTTTTTCAGCGGCATTTAAAGCATTCTTTTCCACAAAGCACCTTCATTTATTCAGTTTCTTGGTTTTCTTGTAGAGCAGATGTACAGTGTCAATGGATTCCTAGCTATCTGCCATGATATATAGGTTTCCAAATATAGAGGGGTTGGGGTTTTTTGGATGACTCTCTGCTGGCATAAAATATCCAGTGTAATTCATTTTCACTGGCCTTAATCAGTGCTTTCTTTTTAATGCAATGGAAATGATTAAATATAAATCTCCATTTCTGTTGCTTATATTCTGCTTTGAGAACATATTTCTCAGCTTAGGGGTTCTTTTAGCAAGTGTGCATGTTCCTTCCCTGTAACTCCCCCCTGCCAAAAAAAAAAGAAAAAAAGAAAAGCCATGCTAATTTTGTTCACTCCCTGTGTTTTCCCCAAAAGCATTTCCATGAGCTTTCTTGGTGGCTACTAAGGAAGACTTTTTTTAAAAACGTCTGGGTGGACTGTGATACCATTTGTTTTCCTTCAAGATATGAAGCAATATCAGGAAGAAACACTTGTAATAAGGAAATCTACTTCCTTTTACATACTAATATGTCTGTTGGGTTTTTACAAAGTTGATAAATGCCTTGGCAGCATGAGACCAGCCAAAATCATTATCTGCTGTTGCTGGAACAATGGAATGGTGCTTGTACAAAGAGGCGCAATAAATATTAGGCCACTTCCCCAGGAAATGTTTGATTTTTATAGATATCATACTTCTTTTCAAATAATGTATAGCATAGTTTCTTTTGAGACTTAAATTGGGTGTGTGTGTGTGTTTCCATACCACTTTTATCTTTTCTGTCATTATTCCAATTTATTTTTTGGTTGTAGAAAGAGAACTAGTTTGGTGTTTGTTTATTTTAACAACAACAAAAAAAGCCCCAAATTGATGTTGCATGGAATGCAAAGATCTGTTTTTGCACGACATTTATTCTGCTTTAGCTCTGTATTATACTATTGTATTATACTATACTTGTCATACCAGTGAGGAAAAAAAAAAAAACAAACAACAAAACAAAACATGACACTCAGATAGCAAAAAAACCCACAAACCACCAGTGAAAAATATATAAAGGATTCTGTTGGAATGAAAAACAGGTGGGTTCAAACAGTGCTTGAGCCTAGTAATGACTATTCTCTGGAGAGAACCATGTACTGTGCTTAAATATACTTAAAGCTTTCAACATGCATCGTACATTTACTTTAAAAAAAGTGTAGTGATTCCAGGTGATCCTTAAGAGTTACCATAAAACGCTGAGGATAAGATCCCATCTATTCAGTTATTCAAATTCAGTAACTAACTTTTTATTAATTTCATAGCAAAAATGTGTATATTCTAAATGAAATGTGAAGTTCCCACATGTGTGCATGTTTTGGAAAATAATACTTCTAGTGGAAGCGATTAATGGACTGAAAAGATACCTGAAGAATTTGATAATTTCATATGTATCTGGCATTAAAGATTTATTTAGACTTGTTTTTTTGGTGGTCTAAAAAGCGTGTCAGGATGCCTTTATCAAGGACAATAGCAGTCATTTACAGGTATCAGTTGTATGACCTTACATTGTATTTCTGAATTTTATGAACAAGACGTGAATTGGTATGTAAATACCAAATGGACTCCTAGAAAATAGTACTTTAAGAAAGAAATGCCCAGTCCTTTCTGAGAGAGGAATGGAATGTAAGAAATCTTTGTTAGTCTCTCATGGCAACTTGGAAAAAATATCTCTGGGTGTTTTTTTGTGTGGAAAACTTCTTATGGAAATAATGTGGGACTTCTAATTATGCCCACCATTTGTGTAACTGTGCTTTACCAGTTCCTCATTTTTAATGGGAGCTGAATAAGGCTACTGTTCAACAGTTGAGGAATTCTGTCCCTGACTTACAAAAATAAACTTATTGTTAGAGCATTATAAAGATAGTAACATTGGATCACAGAGTGGTTATGCAGATCAAATGGCTGCTTCTTTCATTGGTAGTAAGCAGTAGATAACTGTAGTGCTGAAGCAAATGTGCCACAAGGCCAATCCCTAATTTGTGTGATCAAATTTTGGCAGGAAAACGTGAATGTTAAGTAAGGAGATATAGCATCCTTAATTTATATTACTGAGTTAGTGTTTATGAAGTTGGAACTTGATGAACTGTGGAGGCTATTTTTTTTGTTTTTATAAAGAACATCTGACATGAACAGTGTGAGGGCAGAATTTCCCACCTCACATTCTTCAAGTTGAAGAAAGATGACTGTAATTCTTGGCAGTTAGAAAGGGCTATAGAATTTTTCTGATGGATTTTCAGAGCTGTCCATGTGCTAGCTACTGATAGTAGTTTTCAATCATAAAGGAGTTTTAGTGGCTTTTATGATAACCCTCCCCCGTTCCTAAAGCACAGATGTCTTCATGAAATTGCCACTCTTGACAATTTCAATAAAAGGCATTACTGTTGGGAGGGTTAAGAAAAAAAAACCCTAGAAGCCCTGTTTTCTAGATTCCTCTCCTCATACCCCACCCTCAAAGCTCAGAGCTCTTCATTCTTGAACTAACCTGTCAGTAGAGTAAGCACTGTGATTAAAATTGGCCAAGTGCTTGATGGCCTCCTATTTAAGATGTGGTATTAGAAGCTGCCCATTCAGTGATCTGCAAAAACAATATACTTGGAATCAATGCCTTAAATTAATAATTGCTTCCCTTTGAAAATAAATGCAAAGCAGTGTTTGTAATATTACAAATCCAGAGGTTTTTCCATTAATAATTAATCAGTTCAGTAGCATGAGATAACTCCAATCTAGAAGCATTCTGAAGCTCTAGTGACTATGTAAAGAAGAATGCAAATTGCCTTTGATTATTTGTCACTTCAGAAAACCCCACAAACAAACTATAATTCTGAAAAGGAAAACTCATCTTCTTAGGAAAATGACACATTTATAGTAATAATTTTAAATATGCAACTATACTTCAGAAAATCCATTTGTTACCTTTATGGTGCAGTCAGTGTCAAAGACTGTTGTGTTTGAAGAACTGAGTAGTGAATTAAAGCATGCAGCTACTTAATTTACCTAACATGAAAGAGAAACAAATAAATGCTTTTCTGGAGTGTCTTTAAATGATACATTAAAGATTTTGGTTTCAAAAAAACCCCAAACCAAACCTTAAACTTTCAAGATTTCTAAATGTAATCAAGCAGCCCATGAAGATTGAAATGGAAAGCACTCTCACATTTGTAATTCACTTCATTAATATAAGAAGTTTGCAATTTAAAATAGATGATGCAAAGGTTCAGGATTGGGTTTTAAAACAAAGACCTGATAAACTTCTTAAGACGGGCAAATAAGACTAAAGGGAGGCTAACAGTTGGTGTTCTCTGTCAACTGTTGCTTCACTTCAGAATTCGCTTAAACTCTCACACGCTTAAACTACACCCCCAAAAAAACAACAGTGGAACTTTATTTTCATTTTTTCCAGATGTTTAAAGCCATGGAAAAAAAAAAAAATCCACTAAGGAATATATAAGAAGTGTTTTGCAACTGAATGGTGTTCCAAAAGGACAGTTTCTTTAATATAAAGATTTTTTTCTGAAGACAGTCACTGTTTTTTAAAAATAATATTCTATTTTGGACAAGTTATAACGTGTTTACCTTCTTGAATGGGTCTATTCCAAAGCTTCCAGTAAGTTCATCTGTCATTTCAGCTGAATACAGAAAAATGTCTGGGTACAGAGAGAGGAATTTGCCACAGTACTTGTTACAAAAAGTATTACACCTTGGGTTTTTATTGGCAATGTAAAAAAAAAAATAAAAAATTAAAAAATCAAAGAAATCAGGTAATCGAAAGTACAGGAAACATGCAGCTAAAACACATTAGAAGGAAACGGAATTTAATGTGCGGGTTTCTGTGGGATTTTTTTTTTTTTCTTTTTTTTTTTGTCCCCAGATATTGGGCTTTGCAAATTTTTGCAAATGTCCTGTATGTGTAAATGGAGATATTGGAGGAGAACTCATCTGTCCTACCTGTTGGCTACAGAATGGCTGTTAATCTTTTGTAAATCTGGCTTGGCTATTCAGATGTGAAAATAGATGTTCATAAATCTTAAAAGCAGACTGGTTTGTACATAAGAAAACAGTTCCATTTCATGTATTGGTAAGCTTCTTATGACCCATTGATAAGGATGTCAGTCTCCAGCTGAGCACAGTGCCTGTGTGTCCCATATTTAGGTTGGCAAAGAACGTAGAGCCAAAATTCCCAATCGAGTCTGCGTCTGGTTTTAACCATGCATGGATATCCTGTCAGCAGAAGAGAAAATAACACATCTATTTTTAAGTTAGCTGGAATTCTGAAGGCACACCACCTGGTATTGCTGAACAGCTTTGGCCGAATGTGTGCTGTGGTCACGCCAAGGAAACAGCTTATTAACCTTTGCTGCCACCTCCCGAGCAATTTGTGATACTGCCTCTCGGAAGGGCTGAACATGTTAAATTCCTTAGGAGTTCAGCTTGGAGTTAAAATAAAAAAATTAAAAACTGTAATTTGCAGATCAGGCGGTTTGGGGAGTTAGAGAGCAGTTGTGTGGGTGATTCATTTGTGATTTTTAAGTAGATGTGCTCTTGTATAAAAGTCAATATATGCAAAGTCTGAAAGTTAAAAACACTAGCTTCAGACACTGTTAATCTAGCAAATCATTTAACTAATTCATTCCTAGGACTGCATCTTGATGTTGGGACTGAGATGAAATACTGAATTGGAAATATTCACAGGAAATAATGTGTCAGAGCCTGTGCTGGTTTTTTCAGTAAAGCAATCTACTGTTCATCAAAATCTGTAGCAGAATGAAATGCTTTCTGTTTGAAATATTACCTCAGCTCTGATGTCATGGCCCACTGGAGCAGTTTTGAACTTTCTTTTGGGTTAATTACTTGTCCCTTGCCAGTGTCACAGGGGCTCATTCAGTAACAATGTTTTCCCATAAGTATTCTTTCTGAGGTTGTGGTATTGTTTTATCATGCTGGGAGAGCAAGATTTCTTTTTTTTTTTTTTTTTTCTCCCCTCCCTCATTTCGAGGCTCGAAGGAAAGCCCTATGGGGGCTTTGTCTCTTGTGCTGTATGCCATTTTAGCCTCTACAATCTGTGTTTTTTGTCAAAGTTTTAGTGTCTTTAGTCTTTCATCAATTAAAGACAGGGCAGATATGGACCCTCAAAACAGGTATCACCCAACAGCATCACCCAGTTTTTAGTTGAGTTCTTTTCTGTTGTTGGTTTTTTGATTTGTATGTTCATGAGTCGAAAGTTCCAAGATTTTGTTTAAACTTGGGGAAATAAGTGAGTAAAAAAATACTTATCTTGGTAAGTTTACATCATTTAAGAATAGATACAAAATTTTTGTAGCTTTTGTTGATGGAAGTATGGAACAGCCTATGTTATCCCACTGGAAATTGTCTAAGTTAGTACTGTCTACTGAACACAAGATTATTCTACTAGAAATCAGGCAATATATGCTGCCGGTTTTGAATTCAATTCCTGTTTTTTCCAAAATAGGCATAGTAGTTATATGAATCTAGTCTATACATACAGTAAGACTTCCTTTGAATGGCTTCAGAGCAGGTGACTGATTACAACGGGCCAATCATTGCATTAGGAAGACTTCTAATGTCTGTCTCTGAAAAAAATAGACCGTTGCTTGTCACTTGCCAAGAGAGCGTTTTATTCTATGTGACATTGACATGGATACTTCAATGCTCCCTTTATTAACTGTTAACTAGGAGCTGCGTTGTTCAGAAATGGTGTATTTTTAGAGAATGGTTCTTTGCCTTTGCCCGCGAATAAAAGGAGCTTCTAGAATGTGAGTGTAGTAGTGCTGGCCCAGGCACTCTCATGTTGTGTGTTCAGGGCACATGACTGAGGGTGCTCTCTGCTCAGCATCTCTACGAACTGTACAGTTTGCTGTAAGTTTTTAAATCTGTTTCAAAAAATGTATAAAGCATTTCTTTAAAAAAAACCCAAACCAACCAACCAACAAACAAGAACAAAAAAACCAGAACATCCTCAGTCCCTACAGTATTCATTCCATTTAATTATTATTACATGATGTAAAATTTCAGAAATGATAAATAGAGGGTTTTTTATAATTTAAATGACTCCGGGTATTTGAATAAACATGCTTTTATAAAAAGTTGCTTTTGAAAATGTCCTTTTAATTAGATGAAATGTTAGATGGTCATGAAAGCATGTCTATAGGACTTCAAAATTGTGGTAATTACCTACTTTCTGGTAACATTAGAACAACAACAAAAAAAAGAACATTTCCTCCAGCTTATTTTGGATGAATATAAGATCTGACCTTCTGTGACAGATTGTCTTCAAAATGGTTATTTTGATCAATATCAAATCTTGAAAAGAATTAATTGTCCTGTTGTGTTTTGTTTGGTTTTGTAATCCCCAAGGGGTTACAAAGAAGGAATTAGACTGTATTTCTGCTTATTTTGAAATATTTTTTTTCTACCCCCAGACTTAAGGAAAGACCAGATGAATTCAGAAGTTAACTACAGACCTCATGTTAATTTCCCTACAGAACTACATTTGCAGGTGCCCAGTCCTCCAGTAAAGAGGTAACTAATACTGGCATTAATTTACTGTGTAATAGTTTAAGAAATACTGAATTCTGTTATATGATAGTAATCAATACTAAGTGTGAAAAAGTTAAGGTATTGAATATTTTTGACAGATGATACCTTTTGTATTTTATATAATTGTTAGGGCTAAATGCTCTAGATCTTTATTTTAATTTTGATGCTGTCAGTGGAATCAAATAGCTTACATTGTTTTAAACCATCTTGCCAGAGCAAACTGTTTTAGTAGCTTTGTGTTTGGAATTTATATACTACGACAGGCAGTGATTAACCAATTTGTGGTTAGTGCAATAACCCCATGAAGTTTGGAAATGTTGGCTGGTAGGGGAGGAAAAGGTAACTTCTGTTTAGAAGCTGCTGCTATATGCCTGTTGTTTCTAATTTGAACTGTAAGTGCTCGGTGCCTCCTAAAAATCAAAAATCTAAATACAAATTTAGCACCCAAAAATAACACCTAATTTGAAAAGTGAATGTATCGGACAGAGTCACCGGGATGCTTAGAAGAGAACAAAGGTCATGTTTGACACAGTCCTGAATGTTAAAGGAATTTATCTTACCTTACAGATTTTTAATCTCTTGCAGAGATTTTTTGGGGCACTCTACATATTCAAATGAAAGACAGCTTGGAGTGATTTAATATAACTTTTAATCAAATGGCTGTATGTTAAGCAGATCCCAATTCTCTAGTCAGGTTAAATATTTAAGCGGTGTTGCCAAAGCTGTCTTTGAAAAGAATCCTTGGGTTATTTGAGCTTTTTCTTATGTATTTATGGATACTTACATCCTGTGTGGTTTTGTATTTTAGGGCTGAAATGCCTGAGACCACTAGGAAAGTTCTCCAGTCATCAGCTCTGCAGCCAGTTCTTAAAGACATTGGTAAGTCAGAAAGTAGGAACAAGGCAAATGAACAGAATTCTTCAGAGTGGCTTAATCCAGACAAGTTTGAGAAGATGAATGTGTCAGTATATTGTGGTGATGATGTATCCCACCCCTATACAGAAAATGCCTGTGGAAAGAAGCTGATCAACAATGACTTTCACTCCTCTTCCCAGCCACAGTCTCATCACACAAGAACGTTTGGTCCCAAGGTGGGGTTGTCACCTTGTGTGCCACAGAACCTGTCAGAAAGGCCTATGGTGCTTCCCCCTCCCGGTGAGCATGCCGGGCACCCACTCCGAAGGGCAGATGCTCTTTGGGTGCCTGAAGCAGTGTACCAGAATCTTCCTCCCCCTTTACCACGGAAGAAATATGCTCTGAATGCTTTTCCAGGATCAGAAAATAACTCTGCAGCTGATGTAAAATCGACAGAAGTGTTGCAAAATAATCCATTAAGGCAAACAGGTACACCTTTAAAATCTGCATCAGAAGCAAGTGTATTTACAAACGAACAAAGGCTTAAAGAGCCGTTTCAAGGGAATGAACTGTTTGTTCATAAACCGGATTCTCCACCTCGCTTATCAGTTAATGACTTTTGGACTGTGTCTGAAAACTTTCTAAAGAAAGGATCTCGTCATACGGGACTGAGTGCTGGCTATGTGGATGGCAATGATAGTGTATCCTTAACAACTTATTTTTCAGTAGATAGCTGTATGACTGACACATACAGGATGAAATATCATCAGAGGCCCAAGCTGTATTTTACAGATAGTGGAAGCTTTCACAAAGAAAAGCATCCTCCATCAGCTGGAGAACTGAATGCTACATACCATGCTACTCTTGAGCCCAGGCACCCCACACCCGAGCAAAGGTACGAGGCAAATGTAGAAGGCATACACTACAGTAGATAGATTCTTAAAAAAAAATAAAATCTGAATCTGACTTTTGCATTTCATGTAGTCTGTAAATGGGCACAAACCTTCAGTCTCCGTGTGTGTGATAACTAGGTACCCAGTTGGCTGTACTTAGGAGTTATGACTGTTTAAATGCAAATAGAGGTGAACAGAGGAGAAGAGGTGCTAAACTTCTGGTTCTTCGACTTGTAACTCTAGTTGCCTTAACGCTTACCTCTGTTACTCCGCTCGTCTTCTACAGTTTATATTAAAAATGGTCCCTGTGGGTGTATGCATCTTACAGCAGTGGGATCAACAAGATGTTACTAATTTTCTAAGAAGATTTAACTAGTTGCAGTTTAAAAAGTGTTCCTTCAGACTGTGGTCACTATATACTTAGACTAAAGGGATAAACATATTACCATATATAATGCAGTAAATGTAGTTATAATAAGCAGTATTTGTCCTGATAGGTAGCAGGAGGTGACATTGTTTTTTTCAACTGACTTCTCAGAGTCTGTGCTTTCACAAACCTTCAAGTGTCTTTAATACAAGTTTACCCAGAGAATTTCTAACTTTTTTATTGAAAAGCCTTAATAATAATAATTCTTTAAAAACGGTTCTGGTTTGCAAGAGTTAAAGTAAGATTTTTCAAAGGGAATTCAAATAAAATGCAGTAATAGACTGCCCTATTAATATACCTGCTCAATGTTAGTGTACACTTTTAAACACGTTTATCAGATTTGTTCACCCTATAAGCTATATACTTTATTAAAATTAAATTTAGCCATATAAGCTACAAACTGACATAGCAGAATAGGATGCTGATTTTAAAATACAGTTTTGCAACTATGAAATATTAGTTTTGTAAGGTTTTAGATATATTTACTGCTTAGTTCTGATTTATTCTACAATTGCATGCAAAGTCAATGCTGCTATTTATTGAACTTCCTGTCTTTTTTCAGCTTGATGTTTTGAGCAAAGTTTAATGGGGATCAGACATTGGATTTTACTGATGTTTTTTCCTCTTGGGAGCAGTCTTACCCTCTATTAGCAGATCAGGCTGACTGAACCTGCAGCCATTCAGGCTGCAGTGGCACAAAAAGAAGAGGTTCCTTTCCTTTCTCTGCTCTGGCACTCTGCCCTGCAGTTTTGGCAGCTCTGGCATTTACCACGTCTTTTGTTAATGTGACTTATTTCAGTAACAAAGAGGAGGATTTATTTGACTTCTATTTGGTTAGTTAAATCAGTGCACAGAACTGTCTAGCAGCATGTGGCCCAGTAAGGGCTGTGGTGGAAAGAAGGGCCAACAGAATTTCGCCCTGATGGCAGCCCCGAGTGTTTGAAATGACCCCACTGCATCTTGCAGTATCAGAGGCAGGGTCTTAGGAGTTCTGTTTCAGGCTTATTGTAACGTTGAACCATGTATAATTTGGAATTGATGTCAGCAAAGCCTGACACAATCCAAAAAGGCTAAATTTTCCCATTATTCATATTAAAATGCTAAGTTGGGGTGCTGCTGATTCCATCTAAACATCAATGCCTTGTAGTTATGAAAATAATGCAAGGTTAAATATGCATAATAAACACTTGCTTATACTTGCACTGTTAGTCAGAAAGGCTTTTTTATGTTTATAAACCTTATGTGAGTTTTAGCACTTCAACCAAACATTGGCAATTGTTTAGCACAATTATCTAAGGTAGCCATTTAAACAGTAGTTTTGGTTATTCTGTGTCAAGGTCAAGTGTTGGTTTGTGGTTTTTTTAAACTACATGTAACTTACAGTAGAACTGGAACATGATATATGCAACAAACCAGGTATCTCAGATTAATCTTATTTCTACTTTCTTGATCAAAATTTGTTGTAGCACTTGGAAAAAAAATGAAATCTAGAATTTGTACTGCAAATAATTATGCATGTTTAGGTATGGCTGCTGGTAAACAGCAACTTACAAGAATTAATTACCCTTTTGTAAGAAAATCAGTTGAATACAGAAAAAGAACCCTGAAAATATAAGAACTTGGAAAATTCCTAACTGTAATACTTTTGAGAGAGATTTCAGAACCTGTAAATTAAACTTTTCTAGTTCATCTAGCAATGTTACAGAATATACATAGCCAGTTAAGTAAAATTGCCATCTAATACTTGTGTAAAAACAAAATTATTGGATTCTGTAAATAATGTATAATTTGTAAAGTGTTTTGCAAAAATCTTGTATTTGAAATGACAGTATTTTTATGTATGAATAGCACAGCAACAACTGTGAATGATGTTAGAACACTTATTTTTAAACATGCATAGTAACGTTCATACTTCTGTACAATGAGCAATATGAATGCCTATTACTGATACCAATGAATTTGGCTTCCAGTAAGCACAACTGGTAGTTATTTTTTAAAGTCACTGCAGTAATTTAGATACCCTTCAGTCTCCTTGCTTGGCTTGAAACAATCTTACCAGACAACCTTCTATGTGACCCATGTTTACCAGGTATTTAATTATAGTAAACAGACAGCTAATCAAGGCACCATTGTTTTTGTATTTGACTCTGCACTCCATGTATGTATGTACGTAATAGTTGCTAACTAATATGTGATAACTTGTTTTAACTTACCTAGGGTGCCTATTTATTTTTTTTATAAATGTTCCCTTCTGGCTATAGATTTGTATAAGAGCCTAGACAATTTTTGTAACAGTAAAGACATTAACAAGTCTTGTAATTAATATATTTTTCAGTCTTTAGAATTATTTTCTTGCAGAGTTCTGCTTGTTCAAACTATCAGATAAAAATTTCAAATACCTTTGTCTTCTGTTGTTTTTGTAGTCTGTATTTTTCTTAAAAAAAAACAAACAACACACACCTTAAAAAATTGGCTTTCCAGAACTATGTTTTTAAACAGTTTTAATACTGCTACTGAAAGTTTTGCAGATATGGTGGTTCATTTAACCTTTTTTGAACAGTAAAATTCATCTTCTGAAATACGTGTTTATAAAGCTGTTAAATCTGATTGGCTTTCTAAAGACCTATGAAATGCTAAAGCAATTTTAATGCCATAATCCCACAGACTTGATGACAGTTAATTGATCAGTTACTCCAGCAGTCTTTCTACCTGACTAGCTTTGCTCTATTAGGTATAAGTGAAGTTTGCCTCAATAAACATATTTGCATGCTCCAGGAGGGGGAGTGTACGGAATAGCTTGAGCCCAATGCATCACAAGCCTGCACTTTGTTAGCTTTAAGTTTTCCAAGATAAGTAAAAGCTTGTAGGCCAGATCTGGCTGAAGGAGAAAACCAGATTACTAGAAGATACCTTGAAATTTCATGTAACTTTCTAAAGGCTATTAAGACTTATTCTCGCCTGTCTTCCTTACCAAAAGAGAAATGGAACAACATTCAGCACTTCCCTAACAGATTGTTCCCTTGAGAATTCCCTAGTGAAATGTTGGGGGGGGTGGGAAGTAATGAGCTTGTCTTTTTAATAGCTTCATTTGAAAAACTGGAAACCCCATTTTTCTCTTTGTGCAGATGCAGTCACCGTTCAGTGCTCTTCTGCACTGTGAGTCAACTCTGAAACCACTGACTTATTTCATAGGTACCAGCAGCCAAGATCATAAATGCTGGCAGGTAAAGGCATCTCAGTTCTTAAAGCATAGGTCTGATAGATAAAGAAAGCCACTGTCAGTAGAAGAATTGTCTTTAACAGTGGAAGAAAATTTAAGGGGAAGAAAGCATATGCTCACTTTTGCATCCCAAATCCTACTTAACCTGATGGTAACCTGTTCTCATTTAATGTGTTAGAAGACACTGAAACACTCTACACTTCAAAGTCTCTGAGATCTAGTTATTTTATTTATTCCTGAAAAAAAACCCCAGTAAAAATGAACTATACTCCTCAGAATTAGAAACTGTTATTCACAAGGGAAAAATACTCAAGAAAACTCAACCCTTTTCATCCATAGTTGAAGACTGTCTTCCCCAAAAGCTGATCAGGTAAAAAGCCTACTCCATGTACTTGGCTTCCTTTTCTTTCTCCTGAAAATACAGGAGGCTCTTTGATTTAACACCACTTTGAAAGTCTCCCTGTAGCGAGACAGAGAGAATCTTGATGGGGCACATGGAAGTTGAAGCCTGTTACTTACCTATTGCTGTCTATTTACAGTCATCCATGGAAGGGATATGGAAGAGGGTATTCCACATGTAACCTGCTGGCTACCCAAGGTGGCTGTTCTTGTAAGCTCGCTCCTTCACTGCTTATAGCAAGGAAATTGGAATCTGTTTAATCTAAATCAGTGAGGACAGTAGGCTGCTACTGCTGTTTCACTGGCACGTTTCAGAAGGCACAGTAACTGCTGAAGCTAGAATCTCATGCACACTGTGGAATAGAGAAAGGCGTAAGAGAAAACCAAACAGCATCAAACCTTCATGATTAACTTCTTGAAAGCAAAACAGCTGATTAACCTTCATGTATTGAGGGAAAAGGTCCGAGTTACAATTTCAGTCTATATAGGAGCTGGATTTTGTTCTCAGTCACTCTGCAGTCTGTCCTTTCAGTTGATTTTATTCAAACAGTACGTACTTTCATTTCTGCATAACAAACCTTTAGGCGCTAGTTACAAAAGCACAGTCAAGCTGTCTTACGTGACCTTTAAGGCACTGTTTAGAACACAGAAAACATGATACAGGTAAAAACCTGAACGGTAATACTTGTGATACAGCCAGAGGGATATTATGATATAGTGTATATATGTGTCTCTTGCATTCAGATGCAAGTGGAGTCGTGTTCCCAGTTGTTTATGCTGCACAATGGTCCTCCTCTTCCGCTGCTTGCTTTCATAAGGTGCATCCTGTGATTAGATAGTGGCTCTACAGAGAACAGAAAAAGTCCGGTTACTTATGCAGTGCCATACAGTCCTTTGGAAGATGGAGCAAACACAAAAGACAGCAAGCATACTTTCTGATCCAAAAGCTGATACTGTAGTTTTTTGTTAAGGGAAAAAAAAAAAAAAAAAATCAAGCTGCTGGTTGTTTGGAACTAGCTTGACATTTCTCCGGAGGTATTTGTGCTTTTCCAGGCCCTTAGACGCTTCTGCAGGCAAGGAGAGCCAAGGCTGCTCCCAGGTGCCCTGCCAGGAGAGGCACCTTTCCCCAGGCCCGCCCGCGCGGGTCACCCGCGGCCGCCCCAGCCAGGCGCAGGCCCTCC